GAACCAATTAAAATTCAACTCCTGGCCACGGAGGGAAGAAGAACGGGTGGCCCTGAGTTTTCCTGGGGAAACTAGCGTTTGGCCAGCAGCACATCCCTTTGTAATGGAACGCGTCGCGACTGACGCAAAAGCAGGAAGCCCCCTCCTCGAGGGACACACTGTGAAGCGTTTCTCTGAGACACATTATCTGGAGAGCAGGCAGAAGGCAGTTGGGGACAGGATGCCCCACTGAGCGAACTGGGAGGTGCAGAAGCTCAAAGGGAGCCCGTCTGGCCGTTTGTTTTCCCCCATCTACCTCACAGAGAATGTTGGTAGTGTTTGATCCTAGGTAGTCATTCTAATGGTGGGGGCGGCTGGTACCCTAATCCAGAGCTCCACAGTTTTCGGGAAACGTTTCGCCAACATAGGTAATATCATAAAGATTCTCTTTTCCTCCCACTGGATGTGGTGGTTCACGCCTGAAATCACAGCAGAGGCAAGGGGATCTAAAGTTCTAGGTTGACCTAAGGTACATACCAAGGACCCTACTTCAAGAAAGCAAGCAAACCAACGCAAAGCACTTTCCTCCTGTCTCTCCCTGTAGCAGGGTCTCCAGATGTAGCTTGAGGTGACTTTGAACTCAACAGGGTCTCAGGATGAAGCTTGAGGTGTCTTTGAACTCAAAATTCTCCAGTCTCAGCCTCCAAGTGCTAGGATTTCTGTTGCACACTAGGGAAAAGGATTGTTGTTGCACGCTGGAGAATAGGATTGCTTAGGCACACCGTGGAATAGGATTGCTGTTGCACACTGGAGAATAGGGTTTCTACAGCTGCACACTGAGGAATGGGCCTACTGTTGCACACTGGGGGGATTACTGTTGCACACTGGGGAATGGGATTGCTGCTGCACATTGAGGAAGGAAGGTTGGGTTGCTAACTGAAGAAGGATCTGGATAGAATTCTGACCTCTTGTATTTGGTCCACAAGGTGACCCTAGAAGTTTCCAATTTTCAAAATAACAGTATTGACCTCCACGAAATAACCACTGCTAGCCTCCTGTCTCAACACCTGTTTGACTCCACAGATAAGTACATCATGATTTCTGATGTACAAACAAACCAGCACAAACAAAATAATGGTACTTCACACTGCTGTATGTTCAGACTAGGACTTAGACCAGGGCCAGGCTGAAACCACTTCAAACGGCCAACACCAAGGCAATCTGAAGCAACAATATAAATAACAGAAGTGCAGGATTATCACCTAGGAGATAAAATAAATATGAAGTCCTCACTGAGATAAATCAATCACTGGAAAAATAGATGGGAGAGGGGGAAAGAAGCATTCCCTGCAGAATTCCAGTGAATAAATGTAGAAGGAATGGAGGAAATATGGAATAGCTTCTAGAACATTCCTATTGTCACAGATAATAACAGATTTTAAAGTAATGAAAATAAAGTTTGAAGAGAAACGGCTTTACGCATAGTCTCAACGTTACTCTCCAATGTAATTATCAAAGCAAAGGAACAAACAGTGCCCCTCGCAGTGGAGAAACATGGGGACCTCACCATAACCTAGTTGCCAAAGTTGCCATCAGCGGTGATGAAACCTCAGCATCACATGAGCCCCGATGCCAGGCCCTGGGAAAGACACCGTTTGAGTGAAGTCCCTGCCCCAAATGCCTAACCCTTGATTTCATCATGAGAAAACACAGATGTCTTCAAATTGAAGGCATTCTACACAGTAACTGGCCAATTCCCTTAAACATATCAAGGTCAGCTGGGCAGTGGTGGCGTCCTCCTTTAATCCCAAGCACTCTGGAGATGGGTGGATCTCTGTGAGTTCGAGGTCAGCCTGGTCTACAAGAGGACAGGCTCCAAAGCTACAGAGAAACCCTGTCTTGAAAAACAAAAAACAAAAACAAAAAAAAAAAAAAAGAAAAGAAAACAGAAAAAAGGAGGAGAGCTGAGCAGGGTCCTTCGCTTCTCTCAGCTTCCTCCACTCCTGCCACAGCCACAGCTGCCCTCACTGCCACCTCCCCCACCACGGGACTGCATCCTCAGAAAAGCCAAAACAAGCTTTTCTTCCTTAGGCTGTTCTGGCAGGTGTTTTGCAACAGTAGCTAACACAGCTGGGTGACCTTGGAGGATAGGAGAGAATTAGGAAGCATGACCACAAAACCCTCTAACTATAGTTACAGAGACAAAGCACACACATAGACAAGTCTGGGCAAACGCAGAACAGTGCTGATACGTGCAACACCCAATCGAATCAAGATAGGTGCCCTGTATCTCGGGGCTGGCCTCAAGTTCTCTATGAGGCTGAGAATACCTCTGAACTTCTGATCCTCCTGCCTCCGCCTCCTCAGTGCTGGGATTTAGGACACCATCGTGCTCAGCTTATATGATGCTCCGGATGAGACCCAGGCTCCATCAGGTTAGGCAGGCACCCCAACAAATGAGCTCTGCCCCCACCCCCACCACTGGTCCCCATGACAGCGGGAAGCAATTCTGGAGGACGAGTCTCCTCTCCCAAAAAAGTTTGTCCTCAGGGTTGGGAACACGGTTTAGGGGTTGTTGATTATTACTTGTATAAGGTAGAGGGTTGGGGTTGGGGTGAAAACTATGTAGGTTAAAAATAAAAAATAAAAAGGGATAATAATAGTGGGTAATAGAGTAAATACTTATAAGCTATTATTTATGGATAATTTACATTGATATAGTTTTTTGTATATTGATATAAATTCAAATTATATTTGTTATTTCTGTTTACAATATTTGTACACCTATGCAAAGTTATTCTGTCAGATTGTACACATGCATGTCTCTACCTCTGTTTAGGACATTTTGCATACTGATACAACTTTTAGGATATATTTTTATGTTGCATTATATATTATTCTTACCTCTGATCAAGATACTTATACATTATTTATATTTTGAGGTCACTGTCCTATTTGCTGCACATCCGTTTAACAAATTATTTAATATTCTGACATGAAGTCTTAATCTTTAAGTTATACAGGTACTAAACATTATAGGTCAATAGTTGTTCATATTATACATATAGTCAGATTAATTAGGCTCTTTAGAAACATAGAGATTGTATTCTGCCTAGATAGGTAATCTTCAACCACTTCAAGGATCTGTAGAACATGGCATTTAAACAACTCTGTTGACCTGAGACATGATTGCTCCCGACAGCACCAATCTATTTCCGAGAGAAAGTTGAGCACTGAAGACAGTCCACTTGGAGTTTGTTTTCTTTTCGGCACAATTGGCCTTTGGGCAAGGAACTGCCCATGCCTCAACCACAGACAAAGTACATGGCTAGACTGGAGAAGCAGGACATAAGGAAAAGGACTGCCAAACCTTGCCAAGATAGGGTAAGACTGTTCTGAAAAATTCCCTGCCTCTGAAAATGGTCTGTCAGTTATGCTAGGCCTTAGCCAAAGTTGGTTGCTTCAACGTTGCAAATGAGACTTTGGGTGATTGCCCAGGTAGCCAGTTGTCTGACATAAACTGCTCCCTTTGGAAGCTGCTTGATTGCACTTCCTGCCTACTCAAGTGATATTATCTCCCTTCTCGGGTCTTCCATGGGGTTGAAGATTAGACAATCGTAGTTGCCTTCCTCTTATGATTTAGCCAAGCTTAGTTCTGATGCAAGGCTTAGACTCTTTGGAATAAAATGTTTATTAAAACATTTATTATCACGTGTTCCTTGCTTAATATTGTTTATGTTGGTTGTAATTCTATACTTCATATCTGTTCCTACTATATATAATTTTGTATTGGGTTTGGATTGCTCTGATTTAGACAAAAGGGGGAGGTGATAGGGAAGCTTGGTTAACTAAGAGGTGGAACCAAGTTAGGGTGTGGCTTGCTGGGACCCAGAGAAAAAAGGGGTGCACTCTCTGTGTGGTTCCCTCGTGGCACAGCTGAGCTCGGACTTCTCGTTCCTGTTTTTATGAGTTTTCCCCTGATATAAATAAAAATATAATTGTTTTATCTTCTAGCTAGCCTGGTTACTTCCCAAATCGAGCTAACTCCTACACTGCACAGCACTGTCCCTGGGAACCACTCCTGAACTGTCCTTCTCCTTTCCCATACTCTTGTCTGCTATTAACTGTGTCCTAATCTGTCTTGAGTCTGTGTCATCTCGGGTCCCATCAGCATGGACTCGGCTCAGGAGCTCGATCATTTTCTTCCCAGGTGAGAGCAGCTGCTGTCCAAATGACAGCTTCATGACCCCGAGGCTCCACCAGTGACAGGAGGTTCACCTACACCAGTAGATGACGTGAGGTGACCGACTGGAGCGGTGACAGCCTCAGAGCTTCCGCCTCCACCTGTTACTGGGAGCAAGCCTGCCCGATGGCTCTGAGAAGCTCAGCCTAGGCCTGGCTTACCCCCACTCACCAGGCAGCTAGCTTCTCTGGCCCTCTGGCATGTTCAAACTACTTTCGAGTACCTTTCTTAAAATGGAATATAATAAAGACTCTCAATGTAAATATCAAATACAAGTGTTGTTTTCCTACATAAAACATAAGACACTTGATTGCATATTTGTGTATCTTAAACATGGAAAATCGAAACAATCAAATTTAGGTTGGCACAGATTCAATTTCTCTCTCTCTCTTTCCAGGGTCTCACTATGTAGCCCTGTCTGGCCTAGAACTTGCTATGTAGACCAGACTGGTCTTCAACTCATATATTCACCTGCCTCCCTCCCAAATACTAGGATTAAAGGCATATGCCACTATACGAGTACAAAGTTAATTTCTAATGTCTAACAACACAATGGTGGGGCACTTAATACTGTGCTTCAAGACTGTGGGTTCAATCCCCAGGCCTAAAACAAACAAGATTATCATCCTTCTGAACTTTGACCTATGTGATCCCCTTGATCAGCCCTTTCTTTCCTACCAGCCTGAGTCTTTGACCATCTTTGCCCCCAGTGCCCTCCCCTGAGGGTAAGCCAGTCTTTTCTTCCACACTGTTTGGCCTCAACCCCCATGCCTCCTACCTCTGCTTTAGCCGAAGTTTCACCCCTCCTGACCATGTTGCTTTTCGGTGCTGGGGACCGCCGGTGAGCAGCTCTGAGCTGAGGGAGTTAGAGACACCAGGTTCTGCATGGCCCGAGTCTGCACAGACGTCTCTGTTAAAAACAAGACAATAAACACCTGAGTATGGCAGGCTCTACAGGGAGGAGCACAAGCAAATCTCACTGGAAAATATATGAACATGGACTGGAGCCAGAACAAAGAAGCTGAACTAAAGTGGGGTTCACGGTGCACCCTAAACTCTCTGCCCTAAAGACAGCAAATCTACAGAGGGTCTTCCATCCTTCCTGCCTATGACTCTGTGGCTAGGTATATTTCTACATTTCTCTGAAATTATTTTTTATGTTTTGCAGTTCTGGGACTTTGGTGCAATTTAGAGAGAGACCACTCACCTAGCATGCACAAGGCCACAGCACTGTGGTCCTCGGGGTTAACTCAGGGCTCTGTGAATACTGAACAAATGCTCACTTCTACTGAGCCACACCTAGCCACCTTAACTGTTGAGACTCGACGCTGACGGACAATTGAAACTTGAACTCAATGATCCAAATCATCATACTGCTTCCCAGAAACCAAGTCATTTCTCAGTTCCCATAGAAGGAGCATAATCTCCAAGTGCAAGAAATGGCCTGTGCCCTGCTCGGTGGGTGGCAGATCAGGAGGAACACATAACAGCACTCGCAGCACAACCATTTCAGACTGTTCAGATCCTATCGTGTTGGAAAGCCAGCCTTTTGTGCATCTCCATTTCAATCCCGCCTCCCACCTGCGGGCCTCAACACCATCCCTGGAACTCCTCTCCATACTCCCAGGGAGTCAGGAAAAATGTGAAGCCCCACATGGCCAGTGCCTTCTGCCATGGGAACAGACATATTGCCCCTCCAGAGAGACTCAGGCCTAGAATTTCCAAACACCCTCGATGTTGCCTCTTTAATCACACTGGTCCTGCTTCAAGCTTTGAATTAGTTTTAATTTTTTATTTTATATTATTATTGTATGTGGTATATGAATGTGGTATGGGTGCATGACTGCATGGCACCTGGGGCCAAAGGACAACTCCTGCCTGCCTGCCACGGTCTCTCGTTCCTACTGTGCTCTGTGTTCCAGGCTACCTACCCCAGAGACCCTCAGGTTGCTGCCTCCTGTCTCCCCACAAAAGTGATGGGGTTACAGATATGCACCCTTACATCTGAACTTGTATACAGATTCCTGGAACCCGACTCGGGTCAGCAGGTTTGAGCCATCTCGCCATCCCCCAAGAAGTGGGTTCCTCTCAGTGGTATTTGCAGTTTGTCTTCCAGGGTTTTTCTCAGCCTCGAGATCCAACTGCTGGACCTATGGGAGGACGGTCAGGCTGCCCCCTGCCTCTGCATATGGCTTGGCCAGAAGGGAAGGATTACCAAGCAGCTGTCCAGATTAAGCCTTTCCATCTGGCTTCCTATTTTTCAGAGCACAGAATGAAGTCAAAGAACGTTCTTTCTCAAACCCTGAGACAAATAAAAAGAACTTTTTTATTCCGGGATACTGGGGAGGGTCTCAGGGGCTCGGCTGAGGCTTCTTATTTGTTTTAGACTTATTTATTTTTATTTTATGTGCACTGATATTTGGGGTATGGGTGTCGGGTCCCCACAACTGGAGTTACAGACAGCTATGAACGGCCATGTGGGTGTTGGGAATTGAACCAAGGTCCTCTGGAAGTCAGTACACTCAACCTCTGAGCCATCTCTCCAGCACTGAGGTTTTCTATTCTTAAGGGGCAATGTTTCTGTTTACCTTAGCTGTGGCCTGGATCGGTTCTGAAGGTATCTCTCAAGGACTTAGGAGCTCTGCAGAGCGGCAGGACCTTTAAGAGGTGGCGGTGCACGGTGGGGGCATTAACTACCCCCCCCTTAGAGGAGTGGGCTGTATGCAGATAAACTTGGCCCTTGAATTATCACCTGCCTTCCCGTTTTTTCATGGTAGCCTTTTCCTCTTGATCTGTGCTCCCAGATCAATCGGGATGCAATCCAACAGGATATGGTGCAGCCCCGAGAACTCTCGCCAGAGACCAAACCAAAAAGCCTGCCCCACCTGGAGTTCAGTCTCCAGAACTAGGAACTTAAAACTCTGTCAAGCTAGCCTGCCTTAGGTGTTCCATTATAGTAACGCTAAAGGGATCCCACACTCTGTAGTCCCACTTCTTTCTATTTAGTCAACAGAATTCTACACTTGACCTTTAAGGCTTGCTTGAGGTTACGTCACCTAGGACTTTAATGGCACTGGGCCAGGGAACTCTGGGTCTCAGGCTCCTCGGTTGTAGGAGAGACAAAATAAGGGACTGTGCACAAGGGCTAAAAACACATTTCTGGAACATGAGCCCTGACCAGGTGACATTGTCTTCTCTACGCCTCTGCTCTGAAGTCAATAAAATGGAACCAAAGGGCTACTCTTTGCATAGGGTGTGGAGACACTTCTATAACACAGGTAAAGTATCTGGAACAGACCCCAGGACATATTAAGCACTTAGCAAATTAGCCATTATTATTATAAGACCTGTCTTGTAGAGTCGTTCCAAAAGTTCTAGATAATGTATAAACTGTCTAGCACACTGCCCACGCGTGGTATGTGCTTAATAGCCCTATTGTTTTCATTCCTGTCTTAATATAATACTTTCATTTTAGAGCTTCTCTTAATGGTTACACAAAGTTGCTGCAGCTAAAAAACAAAAAGTCTTGTTTTTACAGGGAGGGATAGAAGAGCCTTGGCTGGTGAGCGTTCATATGCCAAAACCTGGAAAACTTACGCCACCCTCACTCAGAAATTCCCACACGACCCTAGCAACACCAGACAGACAGACATTTGGCTTAAGTTGAGGTGCGAAGCAGACTCAAAGGGATCTCCCTGTTCCACACTTTAATGTAAAGATTTAATGAAGGCAGAAAGCCCACTACGAAAGCGGGCAAGAGGGAGGAGAGTTGGCTGCTGGGTCTGATGACCTGAGCTCCATTTCCATGGCACAGAAAGCAGGAGGGAGATTCGACTCCTGCGTGCCATCTCTGTCCTCCTCACAAGTGCGTGTAATCTCAAACACAAAGCCCCCTTCAAGACCACCCACCGACATCATCCACTCTGCCACCGAGGGCTGGCCTTGTCCTTTCCAGCTGTCCCCTAGACTTTAGTCTCCTCCACTGGAGAAAAACAACCACAGGCAGCCTTTCAGAAAGCCTTTGTGGCATTTAATAGCTTCCTCATTTTTTACTTAAACCGCAGACGTTGGCTCAGTCCTTTCTGTATGGTGGCTGAGCCTCCGAAGTGCCATTCTCTTTTCTTCCTCCCATTCCCCATCCTAGACACACCTAGGAAGACAGAGCCACAGGTTACGGGTGTCGTAGGCTATGGCTGGGCAAGAAGAACAAGTCAATGTGAGAAAGACGCAAGCCTGGGACACATGCGGGCATCGGGGCGAGACCAGCGTCTCAGCACTGCCCTCTGAAGCCATGGTACTTCAGACACTTGTCACCTCAGAGGACCAGGGCAGCTGGGTGCAAGGCCAACAAAGCCATCTGAACGTGTGACTGCAATCCCCCGGTGACGCCACAGCAGCCTACAGGCTAAGCCTCCCAGTTCTGCGCTAGGCTGGTTCCAGGGACTGGACAGGGAGGTCCAAGAAGAAGAGTGGCTGAGCTGGAGACACCGTCAGAAGTCAGACCAGAAGGTACAGGAAGCATTTGCCAACACCCACACTCCTGCCTTAAACCCTCCTGGGATAATCTAGACAACAAATAAACAGTTTTAAATTCGTATGTTCTAAAGAAAAGGGATTCTACAGTGACTGTAGATGGCAGACAGTTCTAGAATGAACTTGGGGAGGACCATCAACTCAGCACCCTGGAATTAACATTATGTGTCCCTCTGTCTTATCTGTACATGGACCCACTTACCAGCACAGTGAGCCTCGGTCTGGGCTTTAAGCACATGCTGTCTCCACAAAGGCCGGCCTCCCTGCCCAGGGCAGACTTCTCTGCTGACTCCACCCACTGCAGTAATTGACAGCTGTAGGCACTTTGATCTCCTGAGACAAGTCCTAATGGGGTACCACATGCCTCACGCAGACTGACCCAAATCTTTCGTACAAAGGGATGTGCATCCTTCCCCATATGGTGTGAGTTATTACCAAAACTTTGTATGAAAGAAACAATGAGGTGATTTTTTTCTTCTAAGACCCATTTTCCAGAATACACTGAGACCCAGAAGCTGTGTGTCTTGGCTCAGACCACACACAGAATTATACTCACTGGGGATAAACCCCCAGACAACTACTCATTCTTCCTCCTATCAACTCAGCAGTTTCAAAACTTTGTTTATAACACCGATTTTTAGGCCGTCAGATTACTAACCTAGATGAGAATGGTGATAAGCCCACTAATTTAAAGTTATCAGATGGAAATATGTTTACTTAAAATACACCATGAATCAGCAAAACATCTTCAAATGAGAATACTGAAATAAGCCATGTGGTTGTCCCGCCTCTCCCGGCCACGTCCCTGAAAGCCAATTCCCTACTCGCTGGTGCCTCCCCTTCCTCCTTCAGCTGGGATAACCACTTCCTGCAGGATGCCTTTCCCCACCCACACAGTAGGGGTGAAGCAGGTTGAGTCCCCTCTCCTCCCAATGCACAGAGCACACTAGCTAGCCATGGATGCGCACATCGGGGATGATTACAGGGTTCCCACCTGTCTGCTTTTGTAGGTCCCTCTTGATGGTAGTGCATACATCTAAGACAAGCAGCCCTACGAGGAACGCTGGTATAATCAGCCAGTATTTGTTGGGTGGATGAAGAACCGCTTAACATTCAACATCCTGTAACCCAACTCCTAAGTTAGTGTGCTGCACGCTAATGAGACAGATACTTCTGGGGACTGTGGATGTTTGCTGTCTCTTCCTATTCTCTGGTCTCAGCATCACAGTATCATAACCATGAGTGATGAAGTGGGAGCTAAGCCAACCGGAAAAGGGAGAGCGGGGCTAAAACCTACTGCGATCTACAACAGACAACGAGCCGTCATAACATCCTTCTTCCTCACACTTAAGAAACAGGAGCTGCAGGTCAACCCCC